GTCCTCCCGCCTTGACCTCCCAAAGTGGTAGGCTTATAGTCATGAGCCACTGCATCCAGTTAGAAATAGCAATTTTTCTAACACATGTATTTCATTGGTTTATGCATGAATTTAGAATATCAAAGTGGCATGAACAGGTTCAAGATCCAACAAAAGGGAATCTTGATTCTGCCTCACCTAATAAAAGCAGAAGTATGTGGGTGCACTAAAAAGTAATCCCCTAGCTGTGGGCATTCAGCATGCCATGGGCATCAAGTGATGTCATTTCAAGGAGAATCTGGTTAAGGGTAATTTGGTAAAGAAAGCTGAAATTTATTTAAAATGACTCAGATATCTTTAGAATTCTCAAAAGCTACAGGAAATAGAGTCTGGTACTCTGAGCAGCATGGGGCAGTAGAAAAAGCACATGTTCTTTAGAGTTGAAACCAAGTCAGGCTCAAATATAGTTCTGTTATTTCTCTGGGTCTTCCATTTCCTCCTCTGGAGGATGAGGTTGTTATAAGAATAAAATGAGGATGTAAGACACCTAGAGGATGCCTGAGTAAAAAGGACTGTTGACAGTAGTAGTAATTTTTAGGGCTCATTACCTAGAATAATTTTGTTTGACATTACTAATTCAAATGAGGTCTTAAAGAAAAGCAGTGTATTTAGACTCTTATAGTTAAGAAAAATTACACTACAGAGCCCTTTTTACTTTTAAAACAGATCTTTTACATGTATTCATTATTCTTCCCACTGCTACTATTTTTTAGACTTGACAACTAAATGTTATTTCTTTTCTTCTATAAAAGGTGTTGTACAGCTTTTACCACAGGTGCATCGGCTTACAGTTACTATCATTATGGTCGGAAAACTGTGCAGGTGATAAAAGACTGATGAAAGTCATCCAACACCGTTAGCAAGGAAGCAATATGCATCACTGGCAATAGGGTCCGTGGAAATCTACAAGTTTCCCTATATTGGTGTTCAGCTTGAAAAAGGACTTGTCAGGACCAACCATGTCTTCAAAATTTAAGTAATGTGCGTTGAAAATAAGCTTCGATCATGGTCATATGCAGAATTTCCAATGTATTTTTAAATACAAATAAAACTATAATTTAGAATTTTTAATCTCAGGTTTCTTGATTAATTTATAAGAGATCAATTATTATTTTTTTTTTCTTTTGAGATGGAGTTTCATTCTTGTTGCCCAGGCTGGAGTGCAATGGTGCGATCTCGGCACGCTGCAACCTCTGCCTCCCGGGTTCAAGTGATTCTCCTCCCTTATCCTCCCAAGTAGCTGGGATTATAAACATGCACCACCATTCCTGGCTAATTTTGTATTTTTAGTAGAGGCAGAGTTTCTCCATGTTGGTCAGGCTGGTTGCAGACTCCCGACCTCAGGTGATACGCCTGCCTCAGCCTCCCAAAGTGCTGGGATTACAGGTGTGAGCCACTGCATCCAGTCATCAGTTTTTTATATGTTTTTTAAAAACATAGTCCATAGCATGGACAGAGTTGACACCTCTCTTCTAAGTGAAATTTGAATTGCTCACAAAATACTAGGAAATGTCTTGGGGTTCAAATATATATCCTACACAACGGGGTAATAAATTTTTGTGTTTGATTTTTAGATCTGTGTATACATTAACAGTTTTCATGTAGTTAACACCTGATCATTTGGTATAATGAAAGTGAAGTTAGTTGTGAATGAAGTAAAGTTATAAAAGAGATTTAAAATGCAGTAGATTTTTAAGATAATAAACAGAATAGAAGGTATGAAATTCATTTTCAGTAGTCTTCCAAAATCTAAGGTGCCTAATAATTTAAGTATCAGGACAACAGGCAACACAGGTAGTTGAGATAGGAGAATATGTTGCATCTAAAAGGCGGTGAGTTACATCCTGCCTTCCACTATGTTCCTGACATAGCAATGTTTGTTTGACATTGGAACCTGTACTCATGTAAATAATATCAAGCTGTATATTTTTCAAAGGTTTTTTAAACTTTGGAGAATCTTCTTTTGCTAAGAAGTTAAAGGAATAAAAGAGCTGCAAAAAAAAATTGTACCTTCAACTCGGATTGTTCCATATAACATACTTCTCCTTTGCTATTACATAAGTTTTCTGATTCACAAAGTCCGTTTATGTACATCACTTACACTTAAATTGTAAAAATAATTAGTTTGACCATCTGACTTTAAAAGACATTCTTGCTACACCTCATGTTTAGGAGAATGTGGGATATGGGGAAGGGGAGAAGAAGACCATGTCCAGTGGTAACCGGTTGCTGCTGCTTAAGAGTAGAGGCCTACTGCTGCCCATTGTCCCTGGTTTTAATCCAAGCCTGTTATGGAATCCTGCAGTGAGATTATCCATTCTCAGCCTGTTGAGCTGCATTAAATTAGAATGGGAGGCTGTAAGTAAAACTCACCCCTCTTGGCCAGGCATTCTGCACCAGTGTCCCTCTGTGGCTTGCTGGTCCTGGCTTCTTTGTTCTCAGACCAGCAGCTGAGCTGCGCTTGGCTTGGAGCATACTGAAGCCTGCAGCCAGGAACACTGCCTGCCATTGAATCAGATGGAGGGGGCTGAAAAGGCAGAGAAGTGGGGCATGTAGCTGGTTATTCTCGTTCTCTGGAGAATAGTGTTATTGTTAGCATAAGGCCAGAGGTGGACTTCCCACTGCGGAACCACCCAAGACGCACACTGAGTGAGCCTCTGCATTAGTGATGGGTAAACCATGTAAGAATAATGTTTTAAAAACGGAGGACTTGAAGTAGTTATGGGAAAATTTAGAACTTTGCACCTTGTTATGCTTATTTATGGTTTAGTGTTGATGCCATTTGGAGTGACTTACAGGTTGGACCCATAATCTCTGTATTATTAAGGTCACAATCTGGCTCTGGTTAATAAACTTTGTCCACTTCAACCTTAGGAAAATGGTCCAAGTCTCCTCAGGCTTTTGGATACTGAATTGTTATAAAACATCAATTCTGCCAGTTTATAAAACATTGAAATTATATTAGATATATCTGAATATATACTTGCATATAGACTCAAAAATGATGAAAATTCATTTCAGTGTCTTCACAGAATAGACTTAATCTTGATGGTAAGCTTAAAAATAAGCATTAGTGTTATTTAATTACATGTCTGTAGTAATTAGATTTTTGGCTTTTGCGATGTGTTTGAGTTGGGGCTTCATTCCTGAGCCCAAGCAATCCTTTCACCTCAGCTTCCTGAGTAGCTGGGATTACAGGTGCACACCAACCTTGCTTTGCAGTTTTGTTTTTTTGTGTGTATTTTTTTTTTAACAAGCCCACGACATCATAGCTTTGCACAACAGCTGGCGGAGATCTTTGAAATCATTTAGTCCAATTCTCTTGGTTATATTTGTGATGAAACTAGGGATCTAGCTTACAGTTTGGGGAAGCTCTTTCAAAACTTCACACACTGGAAATACATAGTGCAATTAAGTTTTAGCTTCTGCAGCTTGGTTTGGAAACAAAAGATACATGGGATTCAAACTTGATTTCTTTTCTTCTTACGGTAGAAGTAAATGCTATTCTGGGTTGAATTGTGTCCCCCAAGAAAGATATGTTCAAGTTCAAACCCCCAGTACTGTACATGTGACCTTATTTGGAAATAGAGTCTTTTTAGATGCAATCAAATTAGGACAAGGTCATACTGGATTACAGTGGGCCTTAACCCAATAACTAGCTTTTTTGGTAAGAAAAAGGAAATGTGAACAGAGAGACAGAGAATGTGTGAGATGATGGAGGGACAGACTGGAATGATGTCTGCAAGCTAAGGAATACCAAGCATTGCTGCTGACTCTCTGAAGCTAGAAGAGGAGGGAAAAACCCCACTGATACTTTGATTTTGGATTTCTGGCCTGAACTGTAGGAAAATAAATTTCTGCTGTTTTAAGCCAGTTTTACCAGGTTGTGGTAACTTGTTACAGCAGCTGCAGGAAATTAATAAATGCTGATGTTGAAAATTAAAATCTAGAAATATGGCTTTAATTATAATTTCACAGAACCATTTTTTCCCCCGTTTGTATAAATGTGAAAAAGTAGAGGATACAGTGGATGCATCCCACATGAAGACACAAATTATATTGAGGCATTGTTTGATGTAATTATGGCAGAGAAACTTTTTGGCGTCTAGCTAGAGTTTTGGGTTCTCTTTTGATCATTTCTTCCCTCTAATTAGGAAAAAAGATTTCCAAAAGTTTATGCTTCCTAAAAAATGAATTTATAGTTCATTTGTCCATGTAGTCTTAGGTGGAATGCAGTAAACACTGATTTTAAAGAACAGCCGTTCCCCGTGTTTGACAAACGTTGCCAGAAAACTGGTTTTAACTGTACAGATGGAAATACATGTTCTTGCCATGTCCTGAAATGGAACTAATAAACCCAGAAGGCCTTACAAAGCAACCACTAGCTCTCCCCCTTATTCCGGCTCTCAGGAACTGGAACTGGAAATCCACTGGAATTGATTTCTTGAATTAACAGAGCTCATTATGCCTCAGCCAGAGCTTGATCATGAAGGAGCTTCCGCTGGAAAGACGTGAGGATGTGATTTCTAACATGGCGGAGGAGGCTGGGTTATGCAGTTTCCCTGTTTTATCCCCTCCTCCTTCCATTCACTATTGTACTGGGTAGAGGGCCACTGACTGCTGAAAACCCCAAATGAAACAACACGTAAGAAGGCCCGGCCGGGCGCAGTGGCTCGAGCCTGTAATCCCAGCACTTTGGGAGGCCGCGGCGGGTGGATCACGAGGTCAAGAGATCGAGACCATCCTGGTCAACATGGTGAAACCTCGTCTCTATTAAAAATACAAAACATTAGCTGGGCATGGTGGCGCGTGCCTGTAATCCCAGCTACTCAGGAGGCTGAGGCAGGAGAATTGCCTGAACCCAGGAGGCGGAGGTTGCTGTGAGCCGAGATCGTGCCATTGCACTCCAGCCTGGGTAACATGAGTGAAACTCCGTCTCAAAAAAAAAAAGAAGGCCCAGCGGCACTGGGAGTGATCTGGTATCTACTATCAGGTTTCTGGGAACAGAGTGTGAAGTAGAAGGAAGGGAGGGCATTTGTTCCTTGGACTGAGAAACTCAATGTGGCAAGTTCCATGTGTGCCCAAGGCATTCTAGCTTCACGGGAATTAGAAACCCTAGGAGCGGATGCAGTTGTTTTTGACTCTGTATCTTTTTTTCTGCGCTCAGATCCAGTTCGATTGGAGGCGTTAGCCCAGAAGCTGGCCTAACTGACCGTCTGGAGCCCCAGCGGGTAGTCAAAGGCCGGGTTTTTGTAGGCCAGCAAGTGTGTGTCGCTGCGCTGCAGGCGGAGCGTCCGGCCCCGCCTGCAGAGACACGCGGACAGCACCAGGGTGCTAACGAGCAGCAGGCCGCTGGTAGCGCACAGCCCTGCTAGCAGAAGCGCGAAGCTGGGCTTGGTGGTGAAGGCGGTGCACGCGCTCCAGCCGGAGGACCGCGGCTGGCTCAGGCCGGCCCTGTTGGCCGCCAGCACGCACACACGATAGGTAGTGCCCGGCGACAGCCCGTACAGAGGGTGCTGCCGTGCCGTGGCGTAAATGACCCCCACCACTGACTGGTTCCCCGTCCAGCCATCCGCAGAGTAGCGGATCTGGTACCCGTGCACCACCGAGTTGGGGGCACACCAGTGGACCAGTGCCGACGTGTCCGTGGTCTCTGTCACCCCCTGCAGCCTGGGCGGGTCTGGGATGGTGTCTTCCCCGCTGAGGCCGGGGCACCGGCACCGCGAGCGCCTCTGCAGCTCTGCACACGGCGTCTGTAGGTGCTTGCAGGGGTGGTAATCACAGGAGACGTCCTGGTAAGGCGCTCCCACCTCCTCCTCCGTCCCCTTCTCCTCCTCCTCACTGTAGTCATCCAGCAGGAAGACTGGAATCCCGCCCTCGGAAGGAGTCGGGTTGGGGACCTGGGGGGTGGCCTGTGTCCTCTGGCCGGGCTGAGGTGAGTGTATGTCGTTCCACGAGGTAGTGAAGGGGCCTAGGTGCTTGCTGGCCAGTGGGGTGGAGGCAGCTGAGATGTCAGGCTCAAGGACAGGGCCGGGGGCATGTTCTCCTTGCTGCTGGGTCCTGGTGGTACTGGCAGCCCTGGGGAAAACGCTGGAGTTGCTGTGACCTGCTACAGAGTTGGTCGTGGAGGGGGCAGTGCCTTCCCCCGCATCGCTGTGCGGCCATGCAGCTATCGCGCGGGAGCCCACAGGGACGGTAGGGGCCTTGGAGACATTCTGCTGGGCTCCCGCAGGTCGGGTGTCGGGAGCTGCACTGGGCGTGACGGTGGGACCCGGTGCGTAGGTGGAGGGGTCAAACCAGGGTAGGTGCAAAGCCCGGAGGGTGGCGCTTTGGTCGGACTGGCACACTCCAGGCAGCTGGGAGAGTGACAGGGAGGCTGAGAAGGGGCCCCTGGATCCCGCAGCTGGCGCGCATACAGTGTCTGCTGCCCTGGAGGGGAGGCCAACCAGTTAGAAGAAGTCTGGCTTCAGGGATGCGCCTGTGCAGAGCTTTGAATTTTCATTGCTGGCATCACCCCCTGCCAAGCCCATCAATGCGTCTCTGCCAGGCACCTCAGGGCACACATGCCGCACACATCACCTCACTGATTCTGGGAAACATTTGGAGGAAGCTCCTGTCCTCACTCCCATTGGGCAGAGAAGCAAACAGAAGTTTAGAAGGAGCCCAGGAGTCTGAGGCTGCAGTGAGCCATGATCATGCCACTGCACTCCAACCTGGGTGACAAAGCAAGACCCCATCTCTAAAAAAAAAGTTAATGAAATAGTGCTAAGTAGGATGAAGCTGGACTCTTCCTACTTAGCACTATTTCATTAACTTTTCATTAACTAATACCGTGATGAGACCTTTGACTGCAAAGGGCGTAGGTGCTTCTCTTTGGAGGCAATGTGGGGTTGGGGGGCAGACTGAGCCCCACTTCACAGCTGGAATTGGGTGGGAGATGAGAAAAGAATCTTGGCTGGGCATGGTGGTTCATGCCTGTAATCCCAACTCTTGGGGAGGCCCAGTTGAGAGGATCCCTTGAATCCAGGAGTTTGAGACCAGCCTGGGTAACATGGTGAGACCCCATCTCTACAAAAATAAAAATAAAAAAATTAGCTGGGTGTGGTGGCTTGCACCTGTGGTCCCAGCTACTTCAGAAGCGGAGGGATGATCACTGAACCCAGGAGGTTGGGGCTACAGTGAGACATGATTGTACCACTGCACTCCAGTCTGGGGACCAGAACAAGACCTTGTCTCCAAACAAACAAACAAAAAGAATCCTGCGGATGGTGGGGGTGGGGGCCGGGGGTTGCCTCCCAAGGTGTAGTGGTTACCTGGTGGAACTGGTTTGAAAGCGCTTGGGACTAGGGGTGTTCCCAGCCACCCAGCTCCCACTGTCTCCTGGTGGCCAGCCTAGATGTGGCTCCCCACTGCATAAACAGCTCTTCTAGCCAGAAGCCATTATAGGAATTTCCCAGGTGAGCTCTGTAAGCCCAGAGACCTAATACTGGATAAACCAGAAGCAGGAGGCCAGGTTCCATCTTGAGGATTCAGTAGGGCCTAGCGGTTAGGCCAGACTACACTTCCCAGCCTCCCTTGCAGGTAGATGCGGCTCCTGGCCAATGAATGTGAGTGGAAGTGAGGAGTATCACCTCCCAGCCTGGCTCACTAAAAACCTCCCATGTCTGCTCCTCCATGTTCTTCGCCCCTTCTGGCTGGCTGGAATGGAGGCAGCTTCCATCACCTGGGTCCCTGAGTGTGACTACACGGGGGAGGCTGTCCAGCCCAACATGGCCAAAGTGCCCAGCATGGTCACGAGAGCCAGACATAAGCTGGAGAATTTCAGCTCCTGAAGGCTGACCCTCACCTCTCAGTCATCTGCTTTGTAAATGTGTTACCTGCTTAGGACAGTTCTCTTCGCATCCATGAGAAGCCAAGACAAGTCACAGCTGCAAGTGAGGGGGTTGCCAAAGAGGTTGACCGTTAGGACCTGGGAGGAATCCAGGGTCCAAGGAGGGAAGGAACTCAAGTTGCAGCTGAAATACATACAAAAAATCAATTAAGTCAGGTTTTTACAATTGGATCAAAGATATTCCCAGAGACGCATGGTGTCAGAACCATTCTGATAGGGTTTGGAGAATAACTGCTTGGGGCAAAACTCTTAATGACCTCGGACTTCATTATTTGTCCTCTGTTGTAAAATGGAGATACCAACCTAACAGGAAACATACCTCATCAACTGGGGACAATATTTCCATGACCAATGGTTGTATCAAAAAGAGTGTGTGTTGGCAAGGCACAGTGGCTCCCACCTGTAATCCCAGCACTTTGGGAGGCCACGGTGGGTGGATTATTTGAGGTCAACAGCTTGAGACCAGCCTGGACAACATGATGAAACCTTGCCTGTATTAAAAATACAAAAATTAGCCAGGCGGTAGTGTCATGCCTGTAATCCCAGCTACTCAGAGGGCTGAGACAGGAGAGTCACTTAAGCCTGGGATGTGGAGGTTGTGGAGAGCCAAGATTGTGCTACTGCACTCCAGTCTGGGCAAGAGAGTGAGACCCTGTCTCAAAAAACAAACAACAACCAAAAGAGTGTGTGGTGATGAAAGTGTTTGTAAATGCAAATCTCTATGTACAAGTAGATTTGTTATTATGGACCAATATTATTGCCTACGGCTGGTGACATTCAACGCCAGTCCTTTGGAAGATGCTTCATTTAAGTACTTCAGTGAACTCTTGCTAAGTAGAGCATATCCCCCAAACTTAGTAACTTAAAACAATAAATATTTATTCTTTCATATGATTCCGTGGGTTGGCTCTGTGGTTCTTGTGGTCTAGATTGGCTCAGCTGGGACCAGATGATCTGGGATGGCCTCACGTGTAAGCCTCAATCAGGTGTGCTGGAACCTCTCTCCATGTGTCTGTCATCACCCAGGAGGCTAGCCTGGGCTTGTTCACATGGTTGTGGAGGGACCCCAACAGCAGGAGAGGCCAGGCCCCAGTGCTCGATTGCTTTCTAGTTTCTGCTTACATCACATTTGCTAATGTCCCACTGGCCCATGCAAATTACAAGGCCAAGCCCAGCTTCAAGAGGTAGAGCAATAGACTCCTTGAAATATGGGGCCTGGTTTGATGGCTCATGCCTGTAATCCTAGCCCTTTGGGAGGCCAAGGTCGGAGCATCGCTTGCAGCCAGGAGTTTCAGACCAGCCTGGGCAACATAGCAAGACCCTATCTCTACAGAAAAATTTTTAACAATTACCCAGGTGTAGTGGAGTACACCTGTGGTCCTAGCTACTTGGGAGGCTGAGCTGGGAGGATTGCTTGAGCCCATGAGTTAGAGAGTGAGCCATGATTGTGCCACTGCACTGCAGCCTTGCCTCTAAATAATTTAAATTAAAAAATATATAGATATATATAGGAGGCGCCGCAATCATGTTGGAAAGAGATGTGTGTACAGGGATGGGAGGAATTACTGAGGTCATTTTTGCATATAGTCTACACCTAGCAATGGCAGATCTGCTCCCAGCTCCCTTCTTTCTTCCCCAGAGTCTCACAGTATTTAGCTTTGGCTTTCTCCACTCCTGGAGTCTCCTGAACCTCTCAGATTTTGTCTCCTTTACACATACTGAGTTATAATTCATCATGGGCAATGGGAGCTGCATTTTACCATCAAGTCTCTTCTGACCAAAGGCTGGCTTTCCTTTATCTGCCTGGGAACCTGCCTCCTACTACTCTGGGGAAATGTTCTGCTCTATCACTTCTGGCCAGTGGGAAAGTGACAGTCACCTCAGGAACACGAAATATATGTGTGTGTGCCATTTATGTTAAAACTTAAGCCATACTTACATATACATGTGTGTGTGGGGGGGTGTGTGTGCTTGTTTTTTGCAGATTTTACATGGCTAGAATGGAAATCTTAGAATGAGAGTTCAATCAGTATTTTTCTGTGCAAAGGAAATGCTTTTCTTTTTCCCTGAAGTGGAAGAGGAAGAGGATTACATATTGTTTTGAGTAACACTGCTGAGTCCTTTACCTACATTATCTCATTGTCATCATTATGACAACTTAGTGAGGCAGACAGCATATTACATGCTCTAACATGTAGAACATGTAGAAAGGAAAATTATTGTACCTTCTTAGGGGAAAAGGTACAATGCACTGTGGTGGTTCTTTCTGCCACCCAGTGCCACCTACATGTGATAAAGTCCACATGCTGAGGAAGGACAGAACCTGGCTGGTTGCTGATGCATGTCACATTTGGGTATTCCCTACATCTGACAGGGCCCTAGTGTGGAAGAAGTCCCCATTTGCTCTCCTAAATAATTTCTATTGGAGAACTGCTAATAGAAATTGCAGATATTTCCATGTCACTTTCCAGTAGTTCCATGTCATTTACAATCATTAAAACAACGAAAGTTATTAGACTTACTGGTGGATTTTGTCACTTAAGGTGATAAAGAACCGCACATACACACACACACACCACTCTTCTGATAAGAGTGAACCACGGCCAGGCGCGGGGGCTCATGCCTGTAATCCCAGCACTTTGGGAGACCAAGGAGGGTGGATCTTGAGGTCAGGAGATTGAGACTATCCTGGCCAACATGGTGAAATACAGAAAAGTTAACTAGGTATGGTGGCACACGCCTGTAATCCCAGCTTCTCAGTAGGCTGCAGCAGGAGAATAGCTTGAACCTGGGAGGTAGAGGTTGCAGTGAGCCAAGATCGTACCACTGCACTCCAGCCTGGTGACAAGAGTGAGACTCTGTCAAAAAAAAAAAAAAATAAAAAGTGGACCCACATACAGACTTCACCAGACTGTCAAAGAGTAAAGAGTACAAACTATAAATGAAAATAAGACTGCCTTGCTCTAAAATGGTGCCCATGAAGATGGAAACGTGTTAGAAGACAGTAAGGAAGATGATGGGAAATGAGAGGACTTGATCTAGAGCTGCCCTGAAAGGTCGAAGGGAAGGGGGCTGGCACCGGAGCTACTGGGGATGGAAATGGGATGAGTGGGACCTGACACCTGCAGTGACCCTTCTGCCCCTTTCACCTGGCTCCCTTGGGAATGAATGTCGCTGATGTCCCACATTTTGCCAATCCTGTGGCCCCCCATTCTCAGCTGACCGGGGCTCCTGATGATCTTGCCAACCACTCCTCCCTCCTTCAGCACTCTCTTCTCTTGACCTCCAGGACATCACATTCTCCTGGTTTTTCTGCTACGTCACTGGTCATACATTCTTGGTCTCCTTTCCTGGTTTTTCTTCATCCTGACATTAAGAGTTGGGGTTCTGCTAAGCACGGTGGCTCACACCTGTAATCTTAGCACTTTGGGAGGCCAAGGCAGGTAGATCACGGTGTCAGGGGTTTAAGACCAGCCTGGCCAACATGGTGTAACACAGTCTCTACTAAAAATACAAAAAATTAGTTGGGCATGGTGGCAGGCACCTGTAATCCCAGCTACTCAGGAGGCTGAGGCAGGAGAATCACTTGAACCCCGGAAGTGGAGGTTGCAGTGCGCCGAAATTGAGCCACTGCACTCCAGGCTGGGTGACAGTCAGAGACACCTTCAAAAAAAAAAATTGGGGTTCTTCAAGGCTCAGTTCTGGGCCCTCATCTCTCTATACTGTCTCCCTGGTGATCTCATGAACTCCTTTGGCTTCAAATATCATCTTAATACTATTTGTGCCTCCGGCTCAGACTCTCCTCCTCCAGGCTTCAGTCTGATGCAGCATTGTGTTTAAGGTATCAGATGTGGAGCCAAACTGCCTGGGCTCAAATTCTGATTCTGCTATTTACTAACTATGTGAACTGAGGAAAGTTATTCAACATCTCTGTATCTCAGTGCTTTCATCTGTGAAATGGGAATAATGACTGAATCTTCGCTGTCTGGATTGCTGCAAGAGTAAATACTTTAATATATGCTTAGAACTATGCCTGCCACGGTACAAGAGGTTCATTGTTATTATTACGGAACATTTCCACTGGATGCCTCACAGATCTTTACTATCCAGCAGGCAATTAGATACATGATTCTGGGGCTCATCAGAAGGCCTTGGCTAGAGATATTCAACTAAGCATCCTCAGCACAGAGATGGAGGAGGATGTATCAGGCTTGAGGGAAGGGGATGGTGCTGGAGTAGTGCATAGTGACAAATGACCTGCAAGAAAGTTATAAGTGGAAATAGGCAAGGACATTAAGAAGGCCTAGTCAGGAAGGCTGGAGAAGCAGCAGGGCAGCATACTGGGGCCAAAGAGACAGAGAACGTCAAGAGGGAGGAAATAAACAACAGGCTCCGCAGACGGATGTGTCCACTGACTTGGCAGCTGATGTGGGTAGTCAGATTGCGGTGAACTGACAAGTCGAGGGATGACGGAAGTGGTCACCACTGCTGAACCTGGGATGCTTGCTCTTTTGGGTCTGGATGGCCTTTCTCCTCTGACATTCACTTGATGACACTGGACTCGTCTTTTGAGATACGGATCAATCATGCTGTTCCTGAAGAAGCCTCTCTGATCCGGTCTGATGGATCATTACCCCCACCTGCCTAATAACAGCACATGGTGTGTGTCTCTGCTCTAGATCATGATGTATTATAAATGGCGGATGTCTGCTGCCTATACTGAACTGTGAGCTCCCTGAAAGCAGTGGCCATGCTGTCATTGTCACTGTCACCAAAGTCATCATGACCATCAACATAATTATCTTTATTAATATCACCACCACTATCACATCACCATTGTCGCTGTCAGTGTTCTCACCACCACTAGCTTGTTGTTGTTGTTTGAGATGGAGTTTTGCTCTTGTTGCCCAGGCTGGAGTGCAGTGGCATAATCTCGGCTCACTGCAACCTCCACTTCCCAGGTTCAAGCAATTCTCCTGCCTCAGTCTCCCAAGTAGCTGGGACTGCAGGCACATGCCACCATGCCCAGCTAATTTTGTATTTTTTTAAGTAGAGATGGGGTTTCACCCAGTTGGCCAGGCTGGTCTCGACCTCCTGACATCAGGTGATCCACCCACCTCAGCCTCCCAAAGTGCTGGGATTACAGGTGCACATGAGCCACCATGCCCGGTCTCACCACCACTATTACATCATACAATCATCACTATCCTCGCTGTTATCATTAGTGCCACCACTCATCATCGTCACCATCATCACTACCAGTGCCATCAACATCACTGACATCAACCAGCATCAACACCATCACCGTCACTGTCATCCCCATCAGCATCACCATTAGGACCACCACCATCATCTTCACTCATTTTATAGGACAAATACCATGGGCCAGGCACTGAGCTAAGTGCTCTACATAAACCATATGCTTTTTTTCTCATGAAAAGACCCAAAGTGAAGTGTTATTGTCATAGCTCTATTTTACAGATAAAGAAACTACTTGATATTTGTATCCCAGCACTTTACACAGTTCTTGGGTTTTTATCGAGCTCAAAGGAGTCTGAGCCAGAGATATGAAGAATTTCCCCTCACAACATTGTGTGCTCAATAGCTATTTATGGAATGAAGGAAAGAACGAGTGAATGGTTCTGACTTTGCTTTGAAAAACTATTCATCCTTTTAGAAGAATAATTCCATCTTTAGTGACTGCATTGTGTAAAACAGTCGTAATAAGACCTGTCCCTAGACTTCCCAGGGATTTTCTGAAAATATCAATACTTTCAACCGTAGACCCACTCAAATTCTGGCAGGGACTGAACTTGCATGACATGTGAGGAAGAAGGTAGATCCAGACAGAGAGGAGACCTGAGGTCCTCCTTGCCTCTTCCTGCTGTAAATTTCTAAGTCTGGGCTTAAAATAAACTTTAAAGGCATATGAGTTTTGTGCTCCAATACTGCTCTGGATGGGACTGAGTTGCAAGGCTAGATGGCTGCATGGACTCCCTGGGACCTATCCCAAGATATCACCCAGGTGGGGAAAAACAAAGCCCCAGAGAGGATTTAGAAGAGTGGTGGGAGAAAAATTAAGGTCTGGTTTGTTCTGTAAAATTCAACATAGTATAATGGGCAAAAATCAGTCATGTGATTAAGAGATGCGCCTCTGAAGCACTTACTTCTGGAACAGAAGGACCTGTAGGTGCGGAGTGTCTTGAAACATGTGTGTGGCGACAGAAGCAAGTGCTGGCGAGTCCTGACAGTCCAGCTGCTGCAGGTTGGGGGTCGCCTTGAAAATGTCCCCCTCCAGGGTCGTCAGCCGAGGCATCTTCCTCAGGTGGAGGGATGTGAGCTTTGGCAGGTCTCTGAGCCACCCTGACTCAACTGAAACACAGAGGGGAAACTGCCCACTACTCCAGAAGGCACAAACCCAGGAGGCCAGCATGGCATGAAGGAAAGGAGGAGGAAAGAAAGAGAGTGGCAGAGTAAGTGGTGAAGTCATTGCTGAGCATTGGCACAGTTAGCAGCTCTGGGAATCACAGAAGCGTGGCCATTTCAGCCGGAAGGGCGCTCAGGGAGAACCAGTTCTTCCCTTCTGACAGTCTGAGTCAAGGCTAAAGAGGGGATTGATTGGCCCAAGGCCACATAACTGGAAAGGGGCAGAGACAAGGCTTGAACCCAGGACACTGTCTCCAAGTCTGTTGCTGCCTCACTCTCTCATTAAAGTTCACACGAAAAGTAACCAGAAGTCCCTCTGATCTCTCTCAGGAGTGGGAAACTTCCGCAGAACATAATTAATGAGGCAAGGGGCCCCAGAAACCTAATTCTGTGGCTCTCTTAATAAATGGAGAATGTGTTCCTACTCCTCTGTAGTCCCCATTCTAGCTGTTTTTTTCTCTGTCTGTGATGGAACAGGTGGCTGTAGACACGTGAAATGTTTTTAAAAAATAGTAAAACCAACCTTGTGCATCAAAGAACACCAGGAAGCGGAGACCAGTTATCCTCACCACTCTCCCGTGTCTTGTTTGAGTGATTCAACATTCACGGAAACAGTTTCGTCCAGCCAGGTAGAGAAATCAATGAATTCATCCTGCAAGCCTCAGTCACTGCCGCTAACTGCATGTTTGCAGCGCAGTTTTTCTATTAATCAGCCGCAAAGCGTGCACTCACTTCCCCATTCCACAAGCACTTACCCAGCCATGCTGGGAAGTAGTAGAACCGCGTGGTTACAGTGTTGGGCTCTCCCAGAATGCCTGGGTTCAGATTTGCTCAATGAGCTGTGAGACCACAGGCGAGTTTCACCTTTCTGTGCTTTGGCTTTGGGTCCCTCATATGTAAAACGGAGATGGTAACGGTTCCCACCTCTTAGGACTCAAGAAAGTGACTCCTGTGTGGCGCTTCAAACTGGGCCCGCTTGCTCGAAAAATGTAGCTGGTGTTTTTTTGTTTGTTTTGTTTTGAATGCTGCTGCAAGCTGAGCAGCCGGGTCACCCCTCGAGGAAGAACGCATCCCTGCCCCCAGGAGTGCAAGCGCAGCCTGGCTCTGCGCTCAGAGCCGCTGAAAACGCGGGACACCCGGACTCACCCCGTTCGAGGAACGTGCCGCTGAGATCCAGGACCTCGAGCGTGGCCAGGGGCGCGCCGTCCTCTCCAGCGAACGCCGCCTCGGCGATGCCCCCCTGGGGGCCGCGACCCAGCGCGGTGAAGGAGAGGTTGAGGAGCTGCAGCGCAGGGAAGCAGGCGAAGGTCCGGGGCTGCAGCGCCTGCAGCGGGTTCCCGGCGAGCGCCAGGGCGCGGAGGCTGCTCAGCGCGGGGCCGGCGCACCGCGGAAGGGCTGCCAACTGGTTGCAGCTGAGGTCCAGGGTGCGCAGCCCCGCCGGCCCGCCCGGGCCCCAGCGCAGCGCGGCGATGCGGTTGTGGCGGAGGGCCAGCACCTGCAGCTGCTCCAGGTGGCCGAGCTCCGACGCACTCAGCGCGCGCAGCAGGTTGTGGCTGGCGTCGAGCCTGCGCAGTGTGCGCGGTAGGCAACCGGGCAGGCGCTCCAGGCTGCGGTTCGCCAGGCTCAAGGTCGTCGCCTCAGCGGCGGGCAGACCCTCGCAGGGCGAGTCGGTGGCGTTGCTGCCACTGCTCTCCCAGGGGCCCTGCCGAGTGACCCGGAAGAGCGGGACCCTCTCCTGCGGAGGGTCTGCCCAGCTGGGGCGCAGCACCACCACTAGCAACAGCAGGGCTTGCCGCATGGCCTCTGGGGAGAGAACAGCAGGACGCCCATTAAATCCAATCCCCGAACAAAGGGGCAGATGCGCGTCCCACCACCACCCCAAGGGCTCTGTGGAGGAACACAGGCCCTGGATGTTCCACGAAGGGCAGCGAGACGTTCCCAGAGTCGCCTAGTGTGCAGTGACTTCGCCACTGTCTGCTTTTGCCCTATCGTCTCCCCCAGGAGCGCCGTGGTCTTCCTCCTCTTACGGATGCCTTTTCCTCTTGTTGTGGGAGGGACACCTTCCTCATCTGTCCAGTCTGGGCCTGAATCTCTCCGTAACTCTCCCCGTTTATGTACCCCCATCCTGGGAGCTTCTGCAGGAAAGGGATGCCCCCTTTTATTGCTGCAAACTCTCCCCAGGTAAACAGTCGCTGATCCATAAACGTGAATGCCCTCAGGGAGAAACTCTGCTTCGATAGAAACAGGGACTCTGGAAGATTTTGTCAGTCCATCAGCTCTCAGTTATGCCGCTTTTCCCCATTAAAACTGCCCAACCACAGGGGAGTCCTAGTTTGCCTAGAACAAGCCCTGGAGTCCGTTTCTTGGGAGCATGCTCAGGGTGGCCTTCAGAAGAAAGCAGCCCTGTAAGTCCAAGCCCTGTGGACCCCGGAGACCCTGCAGCCAGGCATTTCCGGGTCCCATGAGGTTCCAACAGAATCCAGAGCCCCCGGTATTAGCCCTGCCCAGGAGGGATGGCTGAGAGCTGCTAGTCGTGGAGTTTCTAGGGTACCTAGGGTTGCACAGGTCGGCTGGGAGATCAAGCCGAGGCAGATCTGGCAGCCATGGGCTCCCTTGGGAGTGGCAAAGATGCTGTTAACCAGGGCCTCACCACGAGGTCACTGCTCGATATCCCTCATGACTGCAGATGTATATTCCTGCTCAGCTCTCTGAGCCAACCAGCAGATCTCCGAGCAACCACGCAGGCTCCAGGGGAAGGGTCTCTCTACTGCTAGCTGGGGGCGAAGGCAGTGAGAACGATCTTGGAACCTAAAGCCAGGAACGTGTGCGTCCAGCAGTGTGTCGTGCTCACCTGAAAGTTGTCCTTTTGGAGTGCGGCTCCTCTGGATGCACCTCTGCAGTTCTCGGTTCTGTTTTGTAGATTCCAGGGACCAGTGATTTGGACAGCAGCTCAGCTCTGAACTCCACAGGGAGGCCTGTCTCCAAGCTACCTCTCCCCCACAACCCCCATCCACTGAGCAGGCTTAAGATACTCCAGCCTTTCCCATGCCTCTCCTTTCCCATCAAGACACTGTTGGCTTTAGCCAGCACCCTCATTGCTCAGCTCCCTCCTCTCCCGCTAGGGCCTGTGCCTGCCCCTTCCCAGGCTTGGCACCTCCTCCTAGCCCTCCCCACCTTCACCTCTCCTAACACCACCTTTCCCAGGCTGGAGAAATGAAAGGAGTCAGCGCTGAGGGCTAATGGAGTGCAGTGAGGCAGACCAGTGCTGTCACCTCTCTGGAATCTGACCCTTCCTGCCAGGTGGCTCCCATTTCCTGGGACGGCTGGAGGCTGAGTGATGAGCCCGCAAGAAAAGCAAGCTGTTTCTCCCAAAGGAGCATCCGAGTGTAGGGGAAGCTGGTAGGGATTTCCAGGAAAAAGTGGCAGGAGAGGGGATACTCAGAAGGGCCTGGGGCAGGAGCAGGCTCGAACCAGACCCAGGAGGCCCCGCGGAGAGTTTGTTTGGTGGCTCTGGGACCCTGCTCAGTGACAGTGTGGACGTTCATCTATCTTAAGGAGTGAGAATAAACAGAGGGCAGAAATGCAGAAGGGACATTCCTGCTCCATGCCGGGGAGGATGGGTCCTGACTACCAGCAGCAAGGGCTCCCGAAGATGTGATGCTTGAGTGAGCTTTGTTTAGGGCACGTTTGTTTAGAGAAGACAGCGCCTCTCTCCCTCAAAGTCCCAAGGCAGAGCCCAGTCATTTCCTCTGAGGGCCTTTGATCTGCACCCACTCCTCATCCCGCCCAGCCCCGTCTGAGAGTTCATCAAGGTTAATGAGCCCCAGCATCGAATGAGCCCCAGCATCGTGTGACAGATGCTGAGACCAGACAGACCCCGAGACCAGAACTGTACGTATCTTTCCTCTTGTTAGACCTTATCTGGACAGCCCTGAGGCATTCTAGGATACCTCAAAAGCTGGCCTGTTAGGGTTGATTGGATAACTGGAAATTCCTTTGAGGCCTTTCCACCCAAAGCCTGCAAAATATCCTTCCAGTCTCAGTGCCAGCTAGGACCCAGCTGCTCAGAAGCAGGGAGGGGCTGCTGTGTGCTCCCCAGCCTGGGACTCAGGCAGCACCTCCCAGGGAGCCTGGACCCAGGCCCCAGAAGTAGAAACACATGCCATGGTGACCCAGCCAGGTGGGAAGGAGAAGTCAGGGAGAGGTGGGGTCAGCATGCAGGCCAGTGGGCAGCCTGCTTCCTTTCTGCCTTTGCACCGAGGGCTCCACGTCCAAGAATTAACATGAAGTCAGGCATGGTGGCTTATGCCTGTAATCCCAGCATGTTGGGAGGCCGAGGCAGGCAGGCAGGTAGGAGTTCAAGACAAGCCTGGGTGACATAGCAAGACCTCATCTCCATCAAACAAACAAACGAACAAACAGAATTAGAGCATCGTGTTTCCTTCAGAGTCAAACCAGCCAGTTCCACCCATGAAGGCGACTGACCATGCTGAGGCCAGCAGGGACTTGGGGAGTCCGGGCAGGACTTTCCCAGATGAAAAGGAGCCAAGTCCATCCTGTTTTTTTTTTTTTTTTGAGACGGAGTTTCACTCATGCTACCCAGGCTGG